CTGCAGATGCAGCTGTGGCAGTGGCAGTAGCAGTAGCATTAGCAGTAGCTCAGTAGCAGTAGCACCGGTAATAGTGTCGGTGGTGGTAGTAGTAGTAGTAGTAGCAGCAGTAGTAGCAGTAGTAGTCGTGGTGGTGGTGGTGGTGGTGGTGGTGTTGTTGTTGGTGGTGGTAGTAGTGGTAGTAGTAGTAGTAGTAGTAGTAGTAGTAGTAGTAGCAGGAGTCGGAGTATGTAGGGGTACGAGTAGGAGTATCAGTAGTAGTAGTAGTAGTAGTAGTAGTAGTAGTCGTAGTAGTAGTAGTAGTAGTAGTCGTCGTAGTCGTTGTCGTAGTCGTCGTAGTCGTCGTAGTAGTCGTAGTGGTCTTAGCAGTCGTAGTAGCAGTCCTACTACTGTCACTACGACTACTACGACGACGACACTACTAGAATTAATGGCCGCGAGCTTGCATCTAAGAGTAGTTTGGGCATTGGTACCAGATATGGTTATATTGCTAGCAGTTAGCATGACTATTGAGAAGCTGGCGTGCGTCTCGTAATAAGAATAGTGGAAGCATAATGTAAATTTTCAAGAACGATAGGCATGGACATGGGGCCTTGAAGCCATCGCAAGCCCATCCCCCATGCCCCCGCCCTCTTTGTGCATCCTGCATCCCCTGGATCCTTATACATCCGATCAGGGTCCGAATCTATGCTCTAAACACGAAAGCTTTGCGGGAGGCACTCTGGTGCTGAACTGCCCATGGTCCGATGCCGTCCAGCCCTTACATTTTGAAGTCGGGTTTGGGGTATGTTGGTGTCCAGGCCTAGAGGTTTTGGTTAGGTTTGCGCATGTCTGAAGAGTTTTGGGTGTCTTGAGACTGAGATTGGACTTCGCAAGCGCAACTTCGTTTCCTTGGAAGCCCAAACTCTATGGAAGCCCCCACCCCCACCAACCCCAAAAAAAAGGCTTTCTGGCCCAGAAGGACAATGGTTTTGGGGTTGACGGGTTTAGGGTTTAAGAAGTTAAAAGATGTAAGGGTAAAAGGGTGTAGAGTACTTAAGGGTTTCGGCTTAGGGTTAAGATTTAAACGGTAACCCCGATAAGCCTGGAGCATGAACAGAGGCACCGGTGCAAAGTTCCAAAATCAAGAAGGAGCCCGAGAACCCTAAGCCCTATAAATCCTAGAAAGGTGGCAGATGGAAGCTTTATAGGCATTAAGCCCAGCAGGAGCAAGGGCCTGAACTACCTACAGCCCTTATGGCCCAACCTGAAGGCCTTAACCACTTAAGCCCTCAGCTGCAACACGAAAGCTGAAACTGCTGTATGTCACACCCTACAAGTCCTTCAACATGCTTAGATCCGAATTTCGGAGGAGCCAGAGGAGCACACCCTCACTGGGCCAGAAGCTGCAAACCCTCGCTATAAATCCCATGAAAGCTCTTCAGCCCTAGAATGGTTTGAAGCCCTGCTAGAAATCGTGAACTCCCAATGGGTTTAAGGTTTTGGGTTCCCTAAACCCGAAAAAGTGTGAAGCCCCCACACTAAACCCAAAGCCCCATACCCTAAAATGCTTGACGTCCCACTCCGAACCCTAAACCCTAGAGCACCTGAAGTCCTCTAAAGGAACTGGAGTCCATTCTCCCGGCCCCCTTCCGGAAGATCGTCGGGGAGAAGAAGCTGAAGGCCAAATCTTGCTGGTGAATCTAGGGGCCTAAGCTTTGGGGTTCAGGGTTTAGGGTTTTGGGTTTTGGGTTTAGGGTTTAGGGTTCCTTGCGGTTCCCGTAAAAGGGGGCTATCAGGGTTTGCACCCAGGGCCGGGGCTGTCTCTTTCGCCCGTCCGCGCCGGGGGGCGGTCTCGCCGCACCCTAGGCTGGGGCTTCCTTTCCCTCGCCCGCCCGTGCCGGGGGGCGGCTTAGCCGCACCCTGGGCCGGGGCCTTCTCTGCTTAGGTGGGTTTTTATTCCACGTGCCTTTAGGGACACGGTTTTCCCGCCTTTATCCAGCAGCTTTCACCGTGATAGTGACTGAGAGTTTGGTTTGCATAAATGTTATTATCTGGGTAACATTGGTTAGGGGTCTACACAATTGCCAATACTAAGATGCCGTTTCTTTTCATAGTTGTAGCAGAATGTACCCCAAAACCGTGTTCCCTTTGTTAAGGCCCCTGTATCACCTTCAGCTGGGGGGTGGGGGTTTAGCATTGGGCCTCATGCGATTGTTTCATGGGCTTGTTGAACTTAAGTTTGTCGAAGGCATGTGTTGGTGCTTGAAGCTCTTTTTGACGTATGTTTTGGTGTGTGTGTGTGTGTGAGACCGAGGGTTTTGCATGATTGTGTAAGGGTTCGGGGCATCCCATGTGTCACAAAGCCTGCTTGCACTTATCCAGGCCCCCACCTAGTAAAGCCCATTGACGACGACGACAACAGCAGCAACAACAACAACAACAGCGACAGAGTTCAAAAGAGCCTAGTGGCGCTAAACTCCGAAATGCCCGTGTAGTAAGCGCATAACACCCTTATTACAGTAGGCCCAAACCCTAAACCCGAAACCCTAGACTCTTCGTGTAAGGGTCGTAGCTCTGAGCCGTCACAGGTCAGTGCCATCGATGCCAGCGCTGTCGCCAAGCGGACAGGCGGGGTGGTGTGGCTTTGGGGTTTAGGGTTAAGGGTTTTTGGGAAGGGTTACTCGTTTCAGAGTACCTAAACCCTGGAAAGTAGGTAAAATCGTGGCCCAACACCCATAAAAGGCTATTCTTCTACATGACTACCTTTGACCGGGCACTTCGTTGGGGAGAGAGTCCTGGGAATATGGATCCAGTACGATCTAAGAATCTAGGGGCCCCGAAACCCTATTAACCCTATTTTCCGAAGCTCCCATGCTCCAGAGTAGGCAAGGCAACGGCCCCGGAGTACTTGCGACTCTTATCTCCTCATTACATAGAGAGTTCCCATAGAATGAGGCGAGAATCTACCCCCCAGAGCCTTGTCCAGGCCCCCCTGTGTTATTTTGGTGTCAAGCAAGGGAAGCTTGTCTCAAGTCTTAAGTGGCCGACAACGTTTAATCCGGGTCTTTTCAAGGCCGCAGCCTAAAGCCCGCACGCTGCGGAAGTGCGCCTGGAATCTACGGCGAGTGATTTCATCTTCCCCTGGAAGCACTCACTTCATCGCACTGTAGTGACCGTTCGTGGGTTTTCAAGGCATGTGGACTGCGGCCACAACGCTGCTGAACCTTGGCCTTAACACTTAAAGAATTAGAATAGGGTTTTGAGGTATATGATACGGTAATTATAACAAGGAGCCAGCAAAAGCCTATTTTAATTCTGAAGACCCTTACATTACTTCGGTCAAGCCTGCTGAAAGCTTAGACTGACGGTCCCCCTACGCCCAACAGGTTTGACACCGAAACTCTCAAGCCGGGCAGCAAAACAAGAGCAGACTAGGGGTTTAGGGTTTAGGAGTTCAGGGTTTAGGGGTTTAGGGTTTAGGGGGTTTAGGGTTCAGGGGGTTTCTGTCTAGGGTTTCTATGGTCATCAGAATGATGGAAACATAAGTATTTAAAGCTGCAAAGAGAGCTCTGGCAGTAAGAACTGAGAGCAGCGCCTGAAACCTGTACCGGCAGCCAAGACACGAGTACCCCAAGCCGTCTTGAGCAGGCATGGGCAAGCTCATCAACAACATCATGACTGCAGCCACATGGCTGCCTTTTTTTGGGGGTTCTATAGATCTCTAGTGTTACACCGCTTAGAAGGGTGTTGAAATTGTCGCAGCAAGTTTTGGGGGCAGTTCTAAAACGAAGGTTCCCGTCTCGACAGGGTCGATGAATTTCGATTCGTGGATTTCTTTCTTGAGGGCATTTGTTCCCAGGAGGTTTACCATGATCTGAACTCTGGAAGGAAATACAGAGGTATGAACAATTAGTCGTCATCCCCGCCCCCGTCATAGTCCCTGAATATATGCTGTGTAATAGTAGGCACACACACACACGAAACCCTAGTCTAATCATTGCGGTATTTCAGCTCCTCGCAGTGCTTATAGGACCCGTGCAAGACCCCAACAACCCTCTTGAAGTTTTATGTCGCCTTTCCTGGCCAAGTTACTAAGTTTTGGCGTGAACAGATGCAGGACACGTGGTACGCGTATCGTCCTGACGCTCCAATGCGCCTGCTCGCCCGATCTCCTGGCATGGGCTGATGGAGTTTCCGAAAATAAGGGGTACCTCATTTTGGGGTCCTTACAACAAGGATCCTACTATATAGGGTACTATGTTACGGTCCCCTATTTTCGGAAACCCCCATGTTCTCTTCCGAACAGCGCCAAAGAGATCGAGCCAGTCTTGCGGTAGCTTGACGCTGTAAGCACAGTGCGATGCGATCCCGGCGATCGAGGATGCTGTCTCTTCCCAGGCCCTAAGTAACTAAGCCCTACCCAGAGGCCCCATAGTAGTTCCTTTTTGGGGTTCATATTTAGAATCCTATAAGGTAATCCCGAAAAGGAACTACTATGGGGCCGATGGATAAGCTCTAAACCTTAAGCCCTCAACCCAAGCCTTTTTGGCGGATCTAACCACAGGGATGCCACACTATAAGGCCTGCGCTACAGGCTGCAAGACTTCAACTGAGCTCACTTACGGACCATCTAAAAGGGTCCAAAGTACCTGAATAGTACCTGGACCCTTAAAAACTGTGGTACCTTTTGTTGGTAGGATCCTAACCATAAGATAAGCCATCCAATAAACGGGTCTAGGTAGAATGTAGGGTTTCTATATTTGGAATCTTCATTATATGATTAGCCAAGACCCTTTGGGAATTTGGCTGCAGGCAAAGCAGAATGCGCATTGCCCGTCCTTCAAGCGACTGAGTGCAAACGCAGGTTACGGTGTCCTTATCTCGCCCGAGCCCAGAAATAGCCCGATTCGAACGAAGCCCCAAACCCTCAAAACCTCAAACCCCAAACCCTCAAACCCCAAACCCTCAGCCCGAAATCCTAGTCCTAAACCCTAACATCCCAGACCTGCAACCCTATTTCGGTCCAGGATCCAGTGTTACAAGGATGCAGATGTCACCACAGACTGCAAGCAAAAATCCATGTTAATCTTCAAGTAATGCCGTTTTATGGATGCTTTCTTGCTTTATCAGGGCTTTGTAAAAATTCAAACTACGGAACATTCCTCGCATGGCATAGAGAAATCTTCTATGACGGAAGGCAGCTGGGTGGCTCATAATAACAGCCCAAGATCTTTTATACAGTCTTACAAACCCTTGTAAGCCCCACTAAAGACCTGTGATTCCAGTTAACGATTTTGGAGTCTCTCATTCAAATCAAGATCTTACGACATATCATCAACACCCGTACAAAGTCTGCAACATAGTCTGTCTGGAAAGTTCTACAACGCTCGGCACTATCGTAAGCGGTTTCTAGGTCGTGTCCAGCCTGTAAGCCCTCACGTTTTGTTTGGGCCCTTGCCCAAATAAGTGTCTGAAGACTTTCGCGAGTACCAATAGACTGGCGGTCTGACACGCTAAACCCAATGTTTAAACCTTGAGAAATCTGTAGTCCTGAAACCCTTCCGCCCTTGAAGCCTAAACTCAACTCTTCGAACACTTGCCCTATATGCGCCCATGTACCTAATACTCGTTAAAACTCTCACAAGGCCCTAGAAAACCCTTCTAGAGACCCTTCATGGAAGTTCGTGTGCATTTGCCTGTCTGGAAACCCTGAGTATGGGGTCCTTCATACCCAAAACGAACCCTAAACATATCGAATATGTAGGGGCCTCAATAACTACCTAATTGTCGTTTAATGGGCCCCAAAACCCTATTCTAATATTAAGGCCCCTCTAATCCCAAGCCCTTCCAAAACTTGGGGAGAGAAAGCCCAAACCCTAAACCCTAAACCCAAGCCCTTCCAAAACTTGGGGAAAGAAAGCTCAGGTTTTCTTCGAGTTGTCTGGGGTGCTCCCAACAGAGCAGGCTTTGTCTCTGCTGAAGGACCACCCCCAGCTGTTGGAGGGTTTGGGGAGTTCTCTTGGAGGTTTGGGGTTTAGTGTCATTTAGGATTTAGGGTTTAGGGTTTAAGGAGGTGGGGGTTTGGGAGTTTGGGGGGGTTTTGGGGTTGGAGGAGGGTTTGGAGGGCTTCGCGTTTCAGGGCTTGGGGTTCCAGGTTCAGGGTTCAGGGTTTGGGTTTTTGGGGTTTAGGATTTGAGGCTGTGATAATATAGTGGCCTGAATCATATCGCTTGCGCTCGGGGCTGTCGGGAATAGGTTTTTGCCGAGGATGCAGTGAAGAAGACATACAAGAACAAGGGCGATGCGATTGTCAACCAGCAGCCCGACATAGAGGAGGGTTTAGGGTTTAGGGTTTTTGCTTTAGGGTTTAGGGCTTAGGAAAGTCTTGGCTTTACAGGACTGTGAATCATGTATTTAGAGGCCATGAAATCCATACAAACGAGGTTGTGGTAAAATGTTAGTTGCACGGATATTTGCTTGGAGGTGCTTCAGGACCAAATGACCCTTGAAAGTAGGGGCCCTAAACCCGATTATGTGAATCCCTATATTATATATGGTATATGAACATTAAACCAAATTAAGCCCTTTTGGGGTATCTCTAGTTTGCGCCTGTCCCTAAACTCTAAACCCTAAGCC